TTGACATTGATTTGAAATATATCAATTTCAATGAAGCAGATTGGTCACTGGATTTATTTAGATTCTCCACTTTAAGCTGATTAAGTTTATCCATATAACTCTAAAGCCAGCACCAATCTTGCAAAAACCATACTGCAATTCTACCAGAACAACACATTATCAACTTTCGCTACTTAAATAAATCAGGCATGACATCAGGAGCCCATGCTTTACACAAAACCTTATCACATGGCATAATACTTGCTGCTTGTTAAATAGAAAAAGTCTATGGCCTAAAGAAACCCCTTTTATGAGTCACGGGTAGATCACCTGGTTTATATTTTTCCCAAAAACGGATTGCCCAGGCCTAAGATCTAGGTCACCAAATTAGATTCGATTTAGTGATAAGCGGTTAAGTTGTCTCATATAAGCGAATTCATTAGACTGAGAAATTAAGGAAATAACTTAATTAATAGTAAAGTAGCATGTATTGAGGAAAAGATATGACTGAACTGCAGCATCGAATATCATTGTCTATTTAGGTGACTAAATGACAACAGAAAATCAAATGGAGCCTTTCAAGCAGCAAAGGTTCAATTACTGAATGAACTAAGACGACAATAATTTGTTGAGTAAATTATCAAGTGGAAAGAAACCGTTTCCTCCATGTTAGGAAAAGTCATAGCCACTTAATATTTATAGACTAGTTGATATGAGACAAACAACAGTCCAGATGACTGTCAATTATGATGTGGACAAGGACTTGCTCAGATGTCATATTCCCCTAATCAACATTGTTTTGCCTAATTTAATGATCTTGCAGAATCAGGTGGGCTTTGAGAAATCAAGCAAAAATATGCGTTTGAAAGAATGATAGTTGCTTTTCTTGTTTATACCATGTCTGTCTACTGACTATAATTAATTTACTCTAATTTATTTCATTTTCCAGATTGCATAAAGTTCCTTACATCAGGTTTTGTTTGCAATGGAGCAAGTGTTGTGACTAATTCCTTTGTATCAGGCCGCTCCCTGGGTTCATATTGCAAACATTTAGAGGCCAGATTGACAACTACTGCCGCCTCTTCTTTAGAGAACTTCCCCTCTAAATGTGAATCCATAAGAAGCATGTTGGCTTTCCCCTGTATCATGTCAAGTGCCTGCAACCAGAATCAGATAACTCCATATGGCACCAATGAAGTTCCACCATCAAACAGGTTAAGTTAAATCTATATGTGTGCGTGTTTATATATATTAACTTTTAACATGGATACATATCAACAGTAACTCCAGCTTTAAAAAAGGCCAACCATTAAGAGTGAAGAAGTCAATCTCTCAAGTTAGTAATGAAAATATTGTTTTTAATTGAAATACAGTGACATCACTTTTCATGTATCACTCAATTTTAACAGTATATGTGGTCGAAACCATAACACCACTGAAAGGGATAGATTACTATTAAATGATGATAAGGTTCTACACAAATATAATAGCTATAAATTCCATGCTGAAAAGGTCAGGGAAAGAAGCAAGGCTTTTGATGACAAGGGGGAAGAATATGCATAAGTTTGATAGCAAGCCAGCCCACTAGGAACTATCATTGAAACATGGTAAGATGGCAAAGTTGGTATGGTTTCTGTCCATAAATTGATATTTATTTTATGTTGGGTAGTTAGACTAGCCAAAAGAAATTGCCACTCAAAATCATAATATTAGATAAAAGAAGAGCTGTAAGCGACATGACAGATAAAAGGCTACTCAAAACTAAAATATAGTAGCATATTGAATAACTTTAAAGATATGTGTTACCGTTGTAACAACCAAATTTCTTTCTACACCCAACCCACCATCTATGGCTGTTAATCCATGTTCACTAGCTGGTAGCTGTTCCCTAATGACTAGTATAAATATCAAGTCCATGTAAAGGAGACTAATTATTACTATTTTATCATATGTCAACAAGAAATTTTGATAGAAGCTCCAATGGATGTACTTAACTGAAAAAAATTATAGACAGCATACAAATGATCAGGTGAACAACAAGAACAGAGTAATAGAAAAAGTATTGGCAGATATAAGCCACTTACATGACTTGGAGGAATGTGTTTTCCACTTAGCAGGTCCAGGAGAACAGTACCGAAGCTGTAAATGACACTTTCAGGAGTGACCCTTCCTACATTTTGATGAAGTGACGATGGGATAATTATGAGTACAATAAATAAGGTAGTAAAGGTAAAAAGAAAGATGGTCATGCAACATTTTTTCTGTGATTTCTTTTTCACAAATTTAAATTATACTTTGACTATGTAGAAGAATAAAAGAGAAGCTACACAATAGATTCAGGGCAGCAAGGATCAGTAGTACCATTTCTTAAGTACTCAGGAGGTGTGTATGCAAGATTCGTGCTATAACTTTTACCATCCCTACTGTTCTTCATCAAACCAAAACATGACAGCCGTGGATCACCTTCCTAAATGGTCCATCAATAAATCAGATGATCACCACGATATATCATTAATGCCATAAGCAACAACTCATAAAACAAAACATCTCATGGAAACAACTAAATAGAGTTACAGTAACAAGTATACTTTACCTCATCAAAAAGAACCCTATAAGCATTCAAATCGTGGTATAAGGGGCGACCCTCAGAACTACAGTAATTTAAAGTTTCTGCAATGGAAAGAGCCACTCTTAAGCGCATGGCCCACTCAATGGTCTGATTTTCCCCTGAAATAAACAACCAAAACTGAAGCTTGAACTAAGATAAACAGCGACCCGCCGAGTCTAACTCTTGATGGTTCCATTGTGGTCAACGGAATAGACTTATACTAATAAACAATATATAGATTAGATTAAGCTTAGTATCACCTATGCCAATGATCTCTTAAAGATTGTGAAAACATAGTTGGGAAAACTTGAAAGGCCAGAAGCAGCAGCAGCTAATAAGCAGTAGTCACTCAGATTTAGGGGTAAAAAAATAACAAAGCTTGATTCCCTTTCATAATAGTTTGCCAAAAGATTTTAAATGAACAGGTAATAATAAAGGTCCAAGTATACGCAGCTAAAATTGGTGACAACGCTTGGGCCGCAAGAGAGCAGAAGTGAAGTGATCAGAGCCAGTAGAATGTTTGTGAAACAGATGATACATACAATGGAAAAGATGCTTAGCGAGAGTGTCATTGGGCATGTATTCTGCAACAAGTAGCCTCTCATCTCCATCACAGCAGTAGCCAATCAAATTAGCAAGCCTGCTATGTCGCAATTTTCCAACACCTGACGCCTCATCCTAAGAACCACATATTTTAGCAAAGAGATAGGTATCAAAATATTTTTGGGAAACGAAAAGGCCCAGAAATTTGATACTTGAGAAGAAGAGAAGGGACAAAAGATGAAAGGTACCACGAATTGCTTGGGATCGGGCCATGCAGCCTTGGTGAACTTCTTGACGGCAATCCAACGGCGGTTGGGGAGGCGCCCTTTGTACACAAGGTTGGGTGCCTTCTCTCCACTCTCAGACACAATAAAATCGGAGCTAAAATTATCGGTGGCTGCTTTAAGGTCGGAGAAAGAGAACTCGGAGAAAGAAGGAACCCCACCGGCGGCGGATGGGTCGGCGGTCAGAGAAGGAGGAGGGTGCGGTTGGGTATGGATGTGGTTGTGAGTGTGAACATGGTGAGGGGGCTGTTGATTTTGCTGCTTTTCGGGGTGAGTTTCGGTCAGAAATGACGATGGGCAGCAACCCATGGCTCGAATGAGTACCACAACCTGCTCTGCTAAGGGATCGCACAAAACATAGATGACTGATAGCTGATGCCGACGGTATTGATAGGAGCGAGCTGAGCTGGTGTTTGTTGTTCGCGTGGGTGCTCTGAGTCTGAGAAGACAGAGCGGAACTCGATGTCCCTTTTTTGGCTTCGGAAAGGGGGGAAAAAGAGTCTACACTGTAATGGGAACTATTGATTCTACATTCGGCTGGCAAGCTATAGAGACGCGACACGTATGGTGCGGTGCGGTAATAAAAATGCAAACAGTTGTAGCAGTTGAGGCCCTATTAAAACGGGAGATCTATTTCCATAACCTCGATCTGGGGGGATAAATTTGATTTATCTATATACTCGCTAAAATTGGCTCTACATAACAAGGTGCCTTTCTGGTTTGGATCCGCGAATACTTGAGCGAATAAAGGCCAAGGTGGTGCGACTACATTTTTGCGTTCACCGCCACCATTTTTCTTTTTTAAACACAGTATCGTTATTGTATTGCTATCACCACTCACTTTCTTTGGTTGCAAGGGAAGATGATCCCATACCCACAGGAGGAGTCAACGTCCTGAACCTTCCGAGCACATCCAATCCACTTACTTCACCGGCTAGCCCAACGTGACTCCCCCTCCCGTGTGGCGGCTATTGGCCACTGCTCGCGTTCTATTCCCGCTTTCTTGCGCTAACATGTTCATATTGAGTATTGACTCCTAAGTCAAGAGGCTCCCCTTTCCTCTGTTCAAGCACACGCACCTTTCCTTAATTACTTTTCCTTTTAGAAACGTACGCGTCGTCCCTTCCTCCTCCTATTCGGTTTGGTTGCGCAATTGAAGCCAACTCACATCGTCTCTGTTTGAATTCCGTACTATCCAGCTTTATCATCCAGTCCATCCAAATCCCTTTGGGACGGAAAAAGGAACAGGAGGCAAGCATATCATATCATTATTGAGTAGGGCCCTAGATATAAATTAAATAAATGAGCACTCTCTGCCATTCCCTTCTCGCCTCTCATTTAAAAGTTTACTTTTGCTAACGTGAGTTTGTTTATTATGGGGGAAAAAACCCTACAATCAAACAGGTAGAGATGTTTGTAAGTATCTTCGTGGCCTCAAAAATGCACTGCAAGCCTGCTTGTGAACGAGTGCTTTTATGACCCAATGAGAAAGATTATATTATCACCTTCCCCGTATGCCCCCATCATTTGCAAAGAATGGAAAGGAGTGGGACACGTTGCTGTATCCCTGATCCTCTACTCATCCGACGTGGCATCATTATGATCTATCAGCTCTTTTTTTCCCCTCTCTTCTTCTCCGTCCTTTTCCTTTCTCTGCACCTCGGTGAAATATGGCGCTGAGGGCCGCTCAGCTTCCGATACCTTCCAGAATTCACCTCACCACTCAGCAGTTCGCTGCCCCCACCCAACTTTCATGGTGTCGCACTGCATCGCCTGACACAGTCCTCCTTCTCCCTTCCCTTTCCCTTTCTACCTCTGCTGGTTCGCTCCTTTTATTCTAACTTATGCGCGCTTATCCAGATTCAGGTGATACGGATTTCTCTGAGCTATGCATTTTACCATATTGTTTGTCAGGAGCAATATTGCATACAAGTCCCCCGGTGAGATGCACGGCTCAGGTTCAGACGACGGGGGCGGTGAATCTTGGTCCTGGGACTCCTGTCAGGGCAACAAGTATACTGGTGGTTGGGGCTACTGGGACTCTGGGAAGGCAGGTTGTGAGGCGCGCGCTTGACGAAGGTTACGACGTTAGGTGCCTCGTCAGGCCTAGGCCTGCTCCGGCCGACTTCCTTCGAGATTGGGGTGCCACTGTTGTCAATGTATTTTTTCACCCAATTTCTCCACGTTTTACCATTATGTTCATCTGCATCTTCCATTCTCTCTTTCATTCCCTTGACATTGTTTTTCTTTGGTCACCTGTAGAACTATGGGAGCAAGCGCTAAATTAGTTTCTGATGCTCATTGTTTGAGAATCTCATCTAAAAGGCCGATTTCATAAACCTTTTTTTTTTAAATATTTTTTTATTATCAAAATTAGAAACAGCACAGCTGCAGATCATGCGTAAATGTGATCAAATTTGCTATTTTTGAGTTACGTATCGTTATTATTCAGAATCTTCTGTAGCGTTGATTTTTAGGGCTTCAGCAGATTCCGCTCACCTGTAATATCTTGTAGCTCCTACAAGATATTCATTAGTTACTAAGTTTATTTCTTTTGAGCAGGCAGACCTCAGCAAACCAGAGACCATTCCTGCCACGTTGGTTGGAATACATACGGTCATCGACTGTGCCACCGGACGTCCAGAGGAGCCCATTAAAACTGTAGGTTTCAGATGGAGGATTTTGTTGCTATCTTTCTTTATGTAGACTTATTTTATCAGAAGACTCTGAATGGTATACTTCTTTCATTCCGTTTAGGTAGATTGGGAAGGAAAAGTTGCTCTTATACAGTGTGCTAAGGCAATGGGAATTCAGAAATATGTCTTCTATTCCATCCATAACTGCGATAAACATCCGGAGGTTCCACTGATGGAGATCAAGTATTGCACCGAGAGGTTTCTCCGTGATTCAGGCCTCCAACACATCATTATCCGTTTGTGTGGTTTCATGCAAGTAATTCCTCCCCTCCGTGCCCCCCGGGGGCCGCCGAAATTGATGTTTTGGGCTTTTATGGCTAACTTTTTTAGCGCACATTTCAATTTTCAATCTATCTTCTGTTTGAGGCTGACAATAGGAAAACTTTGTGGATAGGCAGCATTTGGAAAAACTAATATTGGTAATGTACTATCATTTTTATAGTGTTACGTCTTCCAAACTGTTTCCTAATATGAACATGAACAGGGCGAAGTTTCTTGGAAAGGGCATATTCAGTGTTGATGCATTTTGAATCCTGATTAAAAGCATGGATTGCGGAAGTTGATCATATAATAGATTCTTCTTCTATGCTTTTAACACTTAAAATTTTGACGCGGAATATTGCAGGGTCTTATTGGGCAGTACGCAGTTCCAATCCTGGAAGAGAAATCCGTCTGGGGTACTGATGCCCCAACAAGAATTGCTTACATGGACACTCAGGTTGAGTAATGCATCTCTGGTTCCTTTTTTGTCTGTTCAGTTTCTTATTCCAGGCCTCTAATCAATTTCTACATTTTTGTAGGATATAGCTCGCTTGACATTTATAGCCTTGCGGAATGAGAAAGTAAATGGGAAACTTCTTACATTTGCTGGTCCTCGTGCTTGGACAACGCAAGAGGTATACATATCGTGAGTTAAGCTAAGTAACGAACTTGCTCATAATCATATACCTTGCTCACCAATCTATTCCATTCTTGATTTTAGGTGATTACATTGTGTGAGAGGCTTGCAGGTCAAGATGCCAACGTAACTACAGTTCCAGTCTCCATTTTGAGACTCACTCGTCAGTTGACTCGTTTTTTTGAGTGGACAAATGATGTTGCCGACAGATTATCTTTTTCAGAGGTATTATTTCCTCACAGATGTTTTATGAAGAAAACATGACATATTCTTAACTCCTGCACTTCTTTTTAGCTATTAAAAACTTGGTATTTGAGATAACGAATCTTCTGGGATTGGTTCTTCAAGGATGTAAAATCCTATGCATGAACTCCGTTGACTTAACACGTGCACATGCACCCTCACACGTGTGTGTTTGTGAATATGCTCTGTGGTGTACTCACCTGACGCTGCCTATTTCATTATCTAAATGTCACTATTAAAATGATAAACGAGATATTCTTGCTGGTCAAGTAAATATGGGGACAATTGTTGGCGTGGCTTATTCGAGTATAATTGTTGGATCCTGCTTTAAGTTGCTGGCTGAATACTCCATTAGTGAGAATTCCATAAGTTTTACAAAACGAACACAATTTGAAAATCATGATATGTGAATTGTTCAGCATGGAAGTTGGTATGAGCATTTTTTTTTTAAAACTATTTCACAACTGTGCGTGTCGTACATTTGAATTATTAGCTAATTTTGAGCATCCAGTTTTCTATGCATATAGTTAGCACACTTTTATTTTACTGGTGGTTAAATATAACTATAATGGGACTAATCATTTAAATGGGAAACCATGTAGGTGTTAACAAGCGACACCGTGTTCTCCGTTCCAATGGCAGAGACATATAATCTTCTTGGCGTGGATCAGAAAGATATAATTACATTAGAGAAGTATTTGCAGGACTACTTCACAAACATATTGAAGAAGTTGAAGGATCTTAAAGCACAGTCGAAGCAAACGGATATATACTTCTGAAAGATGAGTTTGTGAAACCTGAAAACAAGGTAATTTATGCGGAAAGTCGGATACATAGTTAACACGGTTTATCAGTCGTATTGGACAGTAATTAAAATTTGGTTCTTGTACTGCTCCTTCACTTTCTTCTCTTTCCAATTCAAAGAGGTGCCGGTGCTATGCACTGTTATTTTTATGTTTTCCTGGTTAAGCGACTTGAGAACAATTTTTATGTGATACTAAAATGCATTAAAAGTGCACTTGAATAGTAGTAAATTCTCCGTAGCTCAATCGCCACCATTACAACTATTGTATAAAAGAAAAGAGAGAAAAAGAAAAGAAAATGAAAATAGCAACAGAAGATTTTGGAAAACATCCTTAAACAAGTCTACATGCATGCGCGTTGATCTTATTGGTTCTTTTGATTTTTTTTTTTTGCCTGCTTTGTTTCTATTTATTGATTGTTTGGGTCAATTGAAGTGAAATAAAGATGGATTGTTTGATTGACTCCTTTTAATCAGGCGGACTGATTCAATCCAATTTCATCACATTAATTGAATATCATCGTTACTTTTCAAGTTTTCATGGTAGGAACTCATAATAAAGATCCATACGCGAATGTTTGGGACCGTGGACCCGAAAGCTTCCCAACAGCATCCGACTTCTTCACAGGCCATTGCAAAAGTACTTATCAGCCAAAATGCACACAACGTGAAAAATTCGAAACTTTGCGAGGTTGAAAATAGCTTTTAAATTGAGATATTCGTTTTGTTTCAAACTTCTTAAACGTGCAAGTAACTTTTGATGAATGTTTATTTAATAACGAAAAACTTTAGCTACTTTTTACTTTTATAATAGTGGCTGGAAGCTTATTACAGGTTGGGTATTGATGCTCTTTTTCATTCTTCTTCCTGACCACCAGCATTTCGACCCATGTTCAAGTAATTCACCAGCAAGCAATTGTGCTTACATAGATTGTGTTGCAGAATTCTCAAATGAAAGGCATGTGTTAACGATTTATTATGACTCAATTAACAAGGTACTCCAAATGACAACTTATTGTGGCTCAATTGATAAGTCAGGGTGCAATAGAATGAATGTATAGGCACAATTGACGAGTGAAGAAGTTAGACAAGAGAAGGTGCTAAGAACAAGATAGTCAATTCACAATTGCAATCTCTTATCCATAAATTCCTCGGGACTTTTGAGATTAAATTAAATATTTCGAGGACCTTGCATTAATAAAATATCTTGGAATTTGAATGTAGTTTTTGCCGCCAAAAACAAAAACTTTGCATCTTCCTTTATGTGCAAGACTTGCAAGCTTAACATTGTTGCCCTTCTGACAAGCTTCTCACCCACCGGCGACCTTCTCTTCTGTCTTCCGCATAAGGGAGGGAAGAGAGCTTGCATCGAAAGGGTAGATTGGCATAGAAGCTTGTGGGAGATTGCTGCGATGATGTGATGGAAGACGCAATAGAGGTTTTGCGAGGAAGTTGGGAGCCTGTTCTGCACTTGGAGCTGGATTGTGGAGTGCAGAGGCCAGAGAACAAAATGTTGAATAACTGATAATTGAAAATGATTCTGCAGTACTTGTTAGTATGTTAGGAAGGCTACGTGATGAAGAGAAGACCAAGGTAAGCCTGCCGGAGCTTGTACAAAATGAGTTGACTAAATTTGTACACGTTAGGGTACAACGTGTATAGAAAAGGTAACTCTTGTGCAAATTTTTTAGCCAATTGTAGTTTAGAACAGGATGAGGTGTAGGGTTTGTTGATGATCCAACTCACAGTGCGGAAGCTATTGTACAATGACTATGCGGGAATTGCCTTCCCATGAGCTGTTTTGATATAATATTGATGGGCAGTAGCCCTGAGTTTTCATCCCCAAAAAAAAAATCTTAAATGGAGATTTGCAAGTATACACGGACATTTCTCCAAAATTTGGATCAAGAAACATCATACTAACATGCATTGATCATATAAAGGCATTGTATGGCCTTAAGCAACACCTCGTGTTTGTTTGAAAGATAAGATGGTCAAACGGGATGCGTACCATCAATACTAGACATATCACACATTGCGACTGAATCTGAAGTAGAAGGCCTTGGAAGCTTTAAATACTTCAAATAGATGGAGGTAGTAAAATCTAAGAAGACATAATTGTTTCCCAAAGTAAGTACACACTAGAATTACTTATTGAGATTCTTATGAAATCCAACTAGAAAATGGGTCACAAAACAAACAGTGCACCAATTGACATTAGGATGCACCAAAAACTAGGAGGAAAAATCGATCGATCCTACTCATACATGACCCAACATTTGTTTTCCTATAACCATAGTGTCAATTTATGAACAAATACAGAACACATAGAGATGGCTTAAAAAATATTGAAATATCTGAAGCTAACACAAAAGATTTGTATTTTAAGAGGGGTGCACGTCTGGAAATAGAAGTCTATACATGTGAATTAGGCATGATCTGTCATGTACAAGAGATCAACCACTACTTGTTCATTCGTCTGGGGTAGATATCGTGGAAGAGTAATTAGTTCTAGCTAGAAGTAGTGGTTGAAGCAGACTAGAAATGGAAATCCATTAAGGCTTGTATCTGGGAAGACTACTCATAAAGTTTGAGTGTGTACTTAGAAGCACCAAAGAGAAGTCCTACGCGAATGCATGACTATTATTAGCATTGCAAAAAATTTCATACATCATGGCATAAGATTGGTCCTAGTTTTTGAGAAAAAAAGATTGAATCAAACAAAACAGGTCTCATAAAAACCCACAAATGCAAAGGTGACAGATCTGATCAATAATATTCTTAAAAAAGAAAAAAGATAAAAAAGAACTTCGAAGAATTAAGCACCAAATTAAGAATGCTCGACGTCTGGTCCTAGCCTGATCATATGATGAAGCCCGTGGGTCCTGTGAAAGTCTTAGATTTTATTATTTTTGTATCTTAGTTTAAGTTTTCAGACCTCGTTTTTAGCCCAAAAAACTCCAATCTAGTTGTTTTCTTGTATTCCTTTTCTTGATTTTTCTTTTATTTTTTGTTTTTCTAAAACCTAGATTTTGTTCCTCACTCTTTGCATGAGGTAAGCCACGCTATTAATGATTTATAAATATTGTGACTTCCTATATATTACCCATGAGCCTCATTTTGAAATAGGATGGCTCCTTAACTTCATTTCCCTTTAAATCTGGACATTCTTTTTAAAAATAAATAAATAAATAAAGCCTGAAGCAGTATTTTATCACCGCCTGCACCGAGAGGCCACTCATGGTAGTCCTCTTGTAAGATCTGAATATATTCAACCGGGAAAGGGAACACATGAACTTCAAAAGAAATTGGACACCTTTTTTGACAAAGGAAAAAAAAAAAAAAACGGAGAGTTCAGAATTTCACCAAATTAATTCCGCCTATCTCGACAAGGACAATGACCACTGATCAGTGGAAGACAAGTACAAAGTGCAAATGCCCAAGCCTTAAAAAGAAAGATTCAAACTAGACTTTGTTTCCGGAAGCACCATCTAATCTTATTCTTGCTAGCAGGACTGCTCATTAGAAGGAGGAAAGTTCAAAAGAAACCGACAAAAATCACCGTATAAACATAACTTCATGAGCAATGTCTCATTAATCTGTCCAGCGCGCCCACTTAGATCAGGTTTCGGCAAATGGGGGCTAAGATATCTCCACTCAGAGACTAACTTTAATTGAGACAATGCTTCTCAATATGGGAAACTTTTAGCTGAAATAAAAATGACACAAACAGCTGTTACACGAAACTAAGAATGCAAGCAGCAATCCAATTTCTTTATAACAAGGACGCGTTGTATTGCATGAGATCCTGAATCCCTTTTAGACAATGAACATTAAATGAATACTGACTTTGCTCGTACATTACCTCCACGTCTATGTTGTCTTCAACAACGAGGCCTGCTGTAATGGGTACACAATCTCGTCTGAACTATTGAGTTGAGGAACCAGCGTTACCCAAACCCATCTTCTGTCCCAGCATTGTCAGCTGCTCTACAAAGTCCTCACCAGTGAGAATTTCTGTTGTTCCATATATAACGTGCTTGACAGGCTGCTGACGCTGCACAAGCTCTTGTAGACTGCCATATTCGACATAATTACCACCGCCAATCATGAACACAATTGCCTCCTTAAATGGTCCTTTCAAATGGCTGCCACCTGCTCCCGAGCCAGACTTAGGAGCACGAGGATCAAAAGCAAGATATGAATCTATTTCAGGATTAGGCCTCCCTTCAGTCAAGGCTTCAACTGTCCTAGTCAACGCTAGCTGCCTATCATTAGATAAGAGGTTTTTGACACCAGCTGTCACCGCACTAATTGACTGCCCGTAGAGTTTCTCAGCCCAGTCAACAATATTACTTCTGCTAGCAGAATTTGCAGATGCCAGTGAAACATTCAATGATTTGATCTTCTTCACATACTGAAAAGCAGCGGTGTCAACCTCAGACTCTCTCAGTGCCAATTCCACAGCTTCCACTTCTGACTGATTAATGCTTTCAGAAGAAATTAGATACATGATGGCAAAGCGAAGCTTATCAATCTTTGTCCCCTTCCCTCTGAGCACAGCAAGTAGTTCATTACGTTCAACACCCCCTCTAACCATCATGTCATTTTCCTTTTTGGCATAAGAATCCAGTGATCTCTCCTTGATCTCACCCAACAACACAGTAGCAAGGTTTGTGTGCTTATCAATAACCTGTTTTCTTTCAGTCAGCTCGGGTAGTGAATTCACAGCATTCATCAAATGCTTTGTGTTACCAATCAAGTCTGTCCCATCAAATTCTGCACCATTAGTTCCACCAGTCCTCTTATTTACCTCATCCACGTCTTTCTTATACTTATTCAGCTGGGTCTCAATCTCCACTGCAACTTCAGGAAATTCTAACGATCCATTTGCAACCCAAAATGAGTCTGAACTATCCAACTCGTAAGATCTCATCCCACCTTTTTCTCCTTGCACACTTAACCTATTCAGCTTCAATCCAAGAACATCGTGAACAAGAGGCCGATAACGAAAATCATGTTGTATAGCAACTGATAACTCAAAATTCCTATCAAATATACACAAAACTGGGCGCTGAAAGGAGCTAACAAAATTACCGCCCTCAGTAAACAAGTTGTTCTTTGCCAACATATGGTCCCGCAATCTCTGATCCAATGCTGATGCAACCATCTCTGCAGGACCACCGCGTGGACACCTTATGATTGGCACGACAGCAAGCGTAGCTAATACGCAAAACAAGCCGCTGACAACCTTCTCTATAATCTCCTCAATTTCACGATCTCCAGCTGAAGGATCATTCAATTGGACATAGGTAGACTTTTGAGCCAAGGAAAACAAATTATCTTCCAATGTCACAAACTCCAAGTACTGATCATGCACCTTGGATATCCGATTAATTGAATCTGAATTCAAAGTCCCAGATGCAAGATCCTCAAGAAGTGGACGAGGAATGGAGGTCGAGAAATTGAGGTGAAAACTATCATAGAGTGAGCGAGATGCATCGGCGATGATCCGCTGGATATTAGATTGATTAGGTTGAACGAAATAGACGGCAGGAACATCGTGGACAGGCTTTCGGTCCTTGTCAATGAGAAAGTAAAGGGTTACGCCATGCTTGCGGAGGTCCTTAACATGGATCAACGGGGAAAGGATGTTTTGGCAGAACTTGTCGTAGATCAGTATCTTGTACACCTCTTCGTTTGCGGTGCCCGTTGCGTTAATTGGTTGGTTCAGATTCAACATACGGGCTATGCATTCTGAGCCACCAACAAACAGATCAGGCTCGAGAATATCAATACACGGAGGAATGATAAAGTTTTTAATTTGGAAAAGAATTCCAGAGATTTGTTATTTTAGTCATCAAAATTAATTCCCGAAGGTATAGCCATAATCAATTATGGCGATAGAAGATATTTAGTAACTGTAGCAAAAGATTGAAGCTCTCTTTGCCGAAATTTTCACAAAAGCAGAAATCAAAAGCAAGAAGAGAATTACCAGTTTGCTTCTGGCGAAGATTAAGAGACATGGCTCTGAAACCCGAATTTTCACCGTATGGGTTTATGGGTTTTGCTTCCGTTCTTCCTCTACGCGCCGGTGAATGGACGTACGAAGATGGGAAGGGGTTAGCGTTCAGTTTGTCCTCTGGGTTGGGGGGGAGACGGAAGAGCTCCTCTCTCCTGTATCTGGGCTTTCTTGTAACTCGTGGTAAGGGCTGAAAAGTAAAAAAGCCGAGAAATGACCTTTATAAAGTTGATATTAAGAGCAAATTGAATAATTTAAATAAATTTTTAAAAATTTTAAATTTATTATTTATAATAAATATATATTATTTTTTCTCCAAAATATCAATACTAATTATGTGTTCTAGAAAACATTTAACAGATATAACTATTATAATGACTACTTTAAAAAATATACATATGAGAGATAAAAAGAGTTTGGATAATATATTTCGAACCAAATTAAATATCAAATTAATTCTTATATTAAAAATAAGAGGTAATATGTTCTATAATCTTTATGAAATACTTACATGTATCGTTAGATTATATATTAAACAAATTAGTTTGGAAAATAAGTATAAATACTTTACACTTTTTTATTTTTTTAATATTTTCAAATTAATCATCTGTAGTTTACATTAAGCACGGGTAGTATAAAGCAATTATTTTTTTAGTTTATTATTAGAAAAATAATTATGTAAAATCAATTTATTAATAGGAACTATATATCGATTAATCACAAAAGGGCAAAAAAAGTAGGCGTACAAGAAAGATGGAATGCGATCTAAAATCAAAATTTTCATCCCCAAATTAGCATGGATTGAGAATCAATGTCAATAAA